TCAGCCTCGTGAGTAGCTGGGACTACAGGCGCACGCCACCATGCCTGGCTAATTTTTTGTATTTTTAGTAGAGATGAGGTTTCACCACGTTGGCCAGGCTGGTCCCGAACTCCTGACCTAAAGTGATCCACCTGCCTCGGCCTCCCAAAGTGCCGGGATTACAAGTATGAGCCACTGCGTCTGGCGTGTTGTTTCATTTTTACGAGACAGGGTCTCCCTCTGTTTCCCAGGCTGGAGTGCAGTGGTGTGATATGAGCTCACTGTAGCCTCAAACTCGTGGGCTCAGGCGATCCTCCCACCTCAGCCTCCTGACTAGCTGGTTCTGCAGGTAGATGCCACTGAGCCTTGCTTGAATTCGGTATTTGAAATCTCCAAAAGGTTAAATAAATTGCTTCTCTCATGATCACGTGTAGACTGGAGAGAAATGCAAAGAGCAAAGATCGCCCAAAGCCAAGGTGAATTAGAGCCTTCTGGGAGCTTTGCCTCTGTAGTTCGCTTCTCTGCCTACACAGGTGTTGGGAGAGTCAGCTTAAGGAAAAGTTCTTTCTGAATTGCCGCTCCCTTTGCCCCAGGGCCTGGGGAGCTTGTGGTCCCGGGTTCCTGCTGAGTGTACTGATTCTGTGATAAGAATAACCAGGTTCCTGTGGTTTTGGCGAGTAGTTCTCACCAGTGAGAGTTGGGTAGTGAGGGTTGATCATGTGACAAAAGTTCATGATCGCCAAGTCACAGTGAACTGTGCTGCATAGCCCCAGTTGGAGAGGCCTGCCGGGGAGAGAAGTAGGGGCTTTGAAAGATCCGTGAACAACAGGCTGCTCAGTGAATCATTGTTCATCTAGGCTGAAAACAATTACCCAGCAACATGTAAATCATAACCTCACTTGGAAGTGATACTGTGTACTTTGATATTTTGTCTATACCCTTTTTTTTTTTTTGAGACAGGGTCTCACTGTGTCACCCAGGCTGGAGTGCAGGGGCATGATCATAGCTCACTGCAACCTTGAACTCCCAAGCTCAAGTGATCCTCCCGCCTCAGCCTCCCTAGTAGTCAGGACCACAGGCACATGGCCACCACCATGCCCCGGCTGATTTTTTAAATTTTCAGTAGCAATAAGGTTTTGCTTTGCTGCCCATGCTGGTCTCAAACTCCTGAGCTCAAGCAGTCCTCCCACTTCACCCTCTCAAAGTGCTGGGATTATAGGCATGAGCTGCTGTGCCCAGCCTGAACATGCATTATTAAATGTTTTAATTTAAACATACATTATTAAATATTAAATTACTAAAAGGAGGTCAGTTTAAAGGAACTCTGTCATCAGTTCCTACAATATTGACAGATAGCTTTCTGAAATAGAAGGGTACCCTAATATGTCTCCTGGGTTTAGAATTTCATAGAATGGGGCCCACTCATATTCATAAGTGACAAATAAAGGAGTGGCCATAAAGGGTGGGGCTAAAGCAAGCAAATGCTATTGTTGAAATTTGGCTTTTAACTTACCTTGTTGACTGCTTAGTTTTTTTGTACTACTCTTTGTATACTGTTGCTTTGCCATCTGCCTCAAAACCCACTAAATCTGCAGGGCTAGGAAAAGAAAGACTGCTTCTGAATCCTTCGGGGTGTCTATTTCTTTGTAAAACATACTTTGAAAAGTAACCACAGAGAATGCTTTTTTTTTGAGACAGAGTCAGGCTGTTGCCTAGGCTGGAGCGCAGTGGTGCCATCTCGGCTCACTGCAACCTCTGACTCCCAGGTTCAAGCGATTCTCCTGCCCAGCCTCCTGAGTAGCTGGGACTACAGGGGCGCATCACCATGCCCAGCTAATTCTTTTTTTTTTTTTTTAGTAGAGATGAGGTTTCACCATGTTGGCCAGGCCTGTCTCGAACTCCGGACCTCAACCGATCCACTCGCCTTGGCCTCCCAAAGTGCTGGGATTATAGACATGAGCCACCGTGTCTGGCCAAGAATCCAAGAACTTTTTTTATAGAGCGAAACTAAAGGAATGATATGGAAATACTGATACCTTTTGGCTTTTTTTTTTTTTTTTTTTGACACAAAGTCTCACTCTGTCACCCTGGCTGGAGTGCAGTGGCGCGATCTCGGCTCACTGCAACCTCTACCTCCCAAGTTCAAGTGGTTCTCCTGCCTCAGCCTCCTGAGTAGCTGGGATTACAGGTGCATGCCACCACACCTGACTAATTTTTGTATTTTTAGTAGAGACAGGGTTTTGCCATGTTGGCCAAGCTGGTCTCAAACTCCTGACTTCGAGTGATCTGCCTGCCTCGCCTCCCAAAGTGCTGGCGTTACAGGCCTGAGCCACCATGCCCAGCCCACTTTGGCATTTGTAAGTGGATTCCAATCAGTGACAAATAATTACCTTCTATTCACTAGGTGTTGCAACATTAAATATTACTGCAGTTACTTTTGCACTAGCCTAATAGGATGTAGAGGTCCCAGGTCCTTTTCTTTTGGGGGGAACGGGAGATGGTGGGCATCAGGTAATGGTGGGGACTGACATCCCAGAAGAGTTGTCTCACAAAACTATTTATTGTTCTCCCTGAATGCCCCAGAGTAACAATTCTTTTTATTTAAAAAAAAATTTTTTTTTGTTTTTTGAGACAGGGTCTCACTCTGTCGCCCAGGCTGGAGTGCAGTGGCGCAATCATGGCTCACTGCAGCCTCAATATCCTGGGCTCAGGTGATCCTCCTGCCTCAGCTTCCCAACTGGCTGAGACTACGGGCTATTTTTTATGGTGACTAGGTCTCGCCGTGTTGTCCAGGCTCCTCTCAA